TTATGTAATAATAGATTATACTGTACTTTTACCTATGATTTTCCGAATTAGAAGCACATGATACTCTACCTTAATGAAAAATTATAATTCAATGTATGAATCAAAAGAAATACCCAAGGAGTATCAATAGATCATTAGAAACTACTACCCCTTCCAATTTAGCATCTTAGGTGGGCACCCACCCCCATTAAACCTCTTGTCTAGCTGTTTTCTTTCACCCTCTCTATCAAAGGCATTAACATGGTCTGCAAACACACACCTGTCAGTGCCACAAAACACAAGAGGTACACAGCCAATCATTCCATATTAGAGATAAGAATGTAGAGGTAAGAAAGATAATTTGGGGCTGGAATGCTCCAAACTGGCCAGGAGACTCAAGTTCTTTCACTCTTGGAGAGTCTCGATGTCGTCAAGCTGCACTAAGGAGAATGTTTGCTTCTATGCAATGTAAAGAGTTGGCAGCTTTGAACAAGAGGCCAACAGTGGCTTGAAATCTATATATAGAGTTATAGGTACACAACATACATAGAGCTGGCTAGCTAGTCCCTTTTAAAGAAGCTGACTAAGACTCAAGGACAAAAACTGAGGCAGATTTTACTTACATTTCAGATTTATTCTAAAAACCTGAATTAAATTACTTTAAGTGGTAGTTTTATCTAGCTAATCCTGGATTTAAGTAATTCATAAAGATATGAAGTAATAAATGGAGCAAATCATAAAGACTGAAGAGGGCAAAAAGTTAAAAACAGCTTTTTAATTTTAAATAAAGCATAAATGTGAAGTATTACAGTACACCACTGCTGATTTTCAAGATGCACAATAGAGAGCTAGTGTATGCACCACAGTAAGATCTTGTCTAACTGTAGCTTTTAGACATTATTGAACTAAAATGAAAATTTATGGAAATAAACACCCAATATGAAAAAAGCATTTTTAAGAAATGCAAACTACATGTTTATTTTTACAGACTACAAGTTTTCACCTCAAAAATTAAGTAGCTAGTATTTGAAAAATTAATTATAAATGTCAAGGCTCAATTACTTAGAATAATTTAAAAAACAGTTTTTTTAAAAAATTTAAAAAACAGATTTAAAAAATATAAATTTAAAAAATATATGCAAATCTAAATATATGCAAATATAAATTTAAAAATATATGCAAATCAAATGAAAAACAGATAAAATCCTCAATGCTGTCCTTCTGGTCTTTTTGCTTGCACTCTGCTTTTAAGCCTGTGAATGCTCACATTTGAGAGGGTCTAACAATTAAAGGGTAACATTGATTAATTAGAAGAGAAAGTGGGGAACAGTAATCAATCCTAAAGACAGTTTTTCTTCTCCCACCTCAAACCCTTCCATCTCCCACAAACAATGTCTTCTATACTGTCCAAATTCTTCAAAAAAAAACAAAACAAAAAAAACACACATTTTTATTCTTGGCCATTCACACACAACTCCAGCAGTCGCTTGGTGCGCATTGTTTCGGGAGGAGTGGGAGGCAGGCAGGGGCCACAGGATGTTGAGAAAACAGACAGGATGTCAGGTGAAGATGGAATGTTGTGCCCTCTCTAACCAGCTGAAGACTCGGCATGATTGTTTTCTTACAAATAATACCTGTGGGTGTTGAAATTGTTCAGGGAATCTATCAAACATGCTCTTCCACTTTGCTGTTGCAACTCTAAAAATTATTCTCATTTCTAAAGAATGCTGGCAATAAGACCTGTAGGTGGTTGAGTAATTTAGAGCAAATCCGTCAAACCTACTTCCACTGACTTGAACAGAATTCTGTAATTACCTTCAAAGTTATAAAATGCAATGGCTTATTTTCAGTATAATCATAAAGTTCTAAACTGTGCTTTAAAGAATTTTTAAAGACAAGCTTAGTGGAAAAACTAATCCAAAGCATAGATTTATTATTAACTGTGCAGTACTTCATTTAGCACACAAAAAAGCTAAGGTCAACACTACACTTCTTTAATAGTAAACTATTGCAAATATGACTCCATTGTCACATAGAAGAGACAAAGCTCTCTCTTTACATAGCAATAAAATAAATCTAAAATTAATCCTAATTCAATACTTTTCAGGCAAATCAAGGTTGTTCTATGGAACATGTATGACTAATGAAACTCCACACTTCTTCCTGCCCAAGAGATATATTAGGTGTTCCTTAATCCAGAATAATGGAACAAACTTGAAAAGTCAGTGTTTTATTGCACGTTTTGTTATACTAAAGGCTTCTCTTAGTGCACCAGGATTCACACAAACGTTCAAATTCATTTAACAACTCTTCATCAACTGAGGCAAATGACTTCACGTGTATACACTATTAGTCCATGGCAAATGCAACAGAATTTGACCTTGTACAGCCCCAGAAGAAGGAAACAGACTCCGAGATAAACTCACTAAATCTAAGTGGGTAAGATGACACCCAAAATTCAGCAATTTAATCACTTGCCTAAAATTCTTAGAATTCAGATCCAGATGATGAAAGTTCATATGCAACTAAATTCAAAGAAAGCTTGAAAAATATGCATTCTGAAGACTTTAAAAAGCTCTAATTCTGTGCAGAGACATGCACCTTGCTGAGGTAAAAAATTACAAAACTGACAATAAAATATGAAATGCCAAATTCCATTTCCCTTTCCTTCTTGGTCCTCACTAAAGAATCCATGTTCAATATGACTTCATCTGATTATGCAGGAAGCGCTCAGCGCATCACAGCTTCAAAAGGTAAAATGCTTTGTGGTCGGGGAGGCTTAATGTAGTATGAGCAGTGACATAAGGGACAAAGATGCTAACCCCACTGTAATTATAACTTCATTAGTCCCAAACAGTTGCTTGCTTTCTGATCAGTGAAACAAATATCATCCCCCATCTGTGGTACATGTAGACTAATATCTAACCATTTAATATTAACCATATGGTTTTAGCAAATAGTATAAACAATAAGATGGGAAAAACAAAGCAAGTTAATTGCAAAAGTAATCCAGAAATAATGATTTTTGAAATAATCATTTATTTCCCATTTCAGAGACTTCCACCATTTCCTTTTATGACTGCATTCTCTGTACAGAAATCAGAGCAACACATAGCGCAGAATAGGCAGGACAAAATTAGACAACTATCTAATCAGTGCTAAACTACTTGCTTCATCAGAAGCAAAAAGAAAAAACCTAAAGCCTTTAGTTGTTATAATGGTCTGACAGTCAAGAGTTTTTTAAAAACATACCAAAACAGAAGAAAAAACAGAAGCAATATCCTTGTTATTACCTGCAGAAAGGAAAATATTTGAGGCATCTATTAACAAACATGCCTTACCTGTGCACCTTGTCAAATCAGTGTAACTGCCCAGGTCTTAAATTAAACCACTTTTTAAAAAAAAAGGTTAAAATATTTTTAGATTACCAAATTTGACCAAACTATTTTTAACGCTTAGTAGATACAACTGTTGATGATCTTTTGAGAAAACACTTCAAAAGACTTACGGTTTCCAGTCAGGTCCAGTTCCATATTAGGTTTTGTTTCAAATGTATTAGAATATATACTGGAAAACACCTGCACATTCTAACGATCTATTGCCACCCATTTTTAAAAAAAAGGAAAATCTATTTTACATACCTAGATAATTTTCTCACAAGATAAAATAAATAGCTTAGAGACAATTCTCTTACAATGTATGCTTATGAAAAATCAGCAAGACCTTCTTAAGGTCTCACAATACATAAATCATGTGAAAGAACACTTGTTCCAAATATTAAATATCATAATATTAACTCATTGTTATTACAAAGCTTTGGTTATCCCCATACACATGTCAAATCGGATCACTGTGATGATATAACATCTGTTAACCACCAAACCTATCTAGATGATATTTATTTCTTAGCTCCATTTAAAAAATACTGGTTTAAGAAAAAAAATCATTTTCCACACATTACCAAAAGAAAAAATAAGTAAACAGCAAATTTGTCTTACTTTTCCTGATCTAAACAGTTCTGCAAAAAGGCAACTAAACAATTCCACACAGATTCATAGGCATGCCACTAAGTGATGGAAATAAACAGAGCTCTGGACTATCAATGTTTATTTGTTCACTACAGCTTTTCCTTTCAGAATAATTACCTATGCACAAACTCTAGATGGCAACATTGCACTTACAGTATTACTAAAACAAAATGTCACACTAAGTCCCTACATATCCTCTTTATCAACATTTTATGTGCCACAGATCTATAGCCTCTTATTATAAGTGTAATGAAGCAGAAATTATTGAAGCATTTTATTGATTGCTCAGATCACAAGTTTACTGTCATACCGAATTGGCACCTTACTTGCTGAAGCAAACTGCTGACACCTTTTTAAAAAAGTGACAACTACATCTATTTCATGACCAGAAATCCATTTTCATCTCTATCAAGAGAAGAATGCAATTTTCACTTCATTTAACTGATGTTAGGCCTGCTCAAGGCATGACACCTAGAAAAAGGCACAAGTTTAAGGTTCTTAAAATACTTCTGGTAACTAGAGTGCAGTTCAGTTGTGGGAAAATTTTCAACTATCACTCAAATCTATAAACAATGTAACATTCCAAGAATCACATACCAGACCTATCAGGAGGGCAGTTTTCTCCTTCCACTTCAAAATTACTGAAGCACTGTACTTAAACTATTTTAAGAAGAAGCTATGCCAAAATAGTACAGTTTTCATACATGCTGTATATATTACATTTACTTTAACACAGGATGACTTCTTGAACAAACCCCATGCAGGTTAAATGGGCAAAAATTCTATTTTCATATGACCTAAGAAATAAAAAGCCTAACACATTTTCCAACAGAGTCGATGCCACATAAAATTGGCTAAGCAGAAGCTGCAACTAAGAAAAAACTTAGATATCCAAGTTTAAGAGACTTATTACATCACAGAACAGGGATTTTGATACTGGAATTATTTTTAGAATATTCTTTTAAAAACATAAAAGTCACAAAAAACACTCACCTGTCTGCAAACAAAGATGAAGATTTTGATATACTGTTCTCCATCATGCCAACTTTATAATAGCATTTTCTGAAAACATTTTTCTACCAACTGCGGATAATTCTATGATGTAATCCCAATCTAAAAATGTATAAAAAACAAAGTTCAAGTAAAACAAAGAAAAATATATTAATGTTTTGGTTTAATCCAAATTCTCAGCAGAGTCATCACACATAATGACTTTTTTTAATGTATGGGCAAAAAGAGAAGAAAAAAGGGAAGAAAACACATTTGTAAGAAAGCTTAGCATGAGATTACAGAAACCTGTTCATGACAGACAGGAAAAAATATGAAAGGCTTTTGTGCATCATAACATCTATTCCACCACCAGGATTTGAGACAGCAGTTTTACAAGAAAAGTATAATAAAACAGATGAAATACACTCCTTTTTACTTTATCCTGGTAATTGCAGTATTCCACTTCTTCAAATTTCAATATTATTTCTACATATATAGCAAAGTCTAATGAATTATCATGTTCACAGGTTCAGCTTAGAAAAAAATGGCAAAGCCACCGAATGCACATTTTCCAACTAAAACGTCTGGGTCAGTCTTCCTTCAGTTGAAACAGTGAATACTAGTTATCAGTCATTTTTATTCCAGTTTGTTTTCTTGCCCATATTTTGCATAGTAGCTCCATTATTTTCATGTAATATAATTTATTGTTATTTATTATAATTACTATTACTGGAAGTTCTGCTAGACCAAGCTAACGAACATTCAGCACTATCTCCTGTGACTTCTTACCTCCAGGCTCAGTCACCTCATGCCCATGTGCAATAACATAGCTTTAGTAAAAAATAAAAGCACACAGGACAGAATCCTAAGACTATTTGTGTTAGCTTACTGCAACACTAAAATTGTGGTAAAACGTTTTACATGAAATCTAAAACGGGTTCAAAACATTTAAATATACTTAAACCAATTGTGATTCTCAAATATTTACACCTATACATTTTCAATAATAAACATCTACTATTTTAATGACAGATTTTCTTCTACTTGTTATGTATATTGTATGACATTTACTAAAGGACAGAACAACAGCTTGAGTAAAGTAGCATTCTAAATGAAGAAAATGTTTAAAAATCATTAATATCATTTTAAAAGGTATTTGAGTCTTCTCTTTTGGCTTCTGTTTAGCTGTGCTAGGCCTGTGAATGACAGCTTCCCTGCTTGAAGCACACAGAAAGCACAGCCTTCCTCATTCACTGTCAGTACTATGGCCTTTTCACACGTTCCCTCCACAGCAGTGTTTGTCCCCAAACACTGGAACCCTGCACAATGGCATTCCTACTTCAACACCCCCACCAACAGCACCACTACATAGGAAGAATGTTAATAAGATGGACATCCCCCATCACTGAAAGTGTTAACTCCATCTCATACTATCAGACAATGTATTTTCTTTCGTTATGTGTTAAGTTTCAGCTAAAAGTAACTATATTTTCAATACATATTTTTTCCTTGTCTTAAAAATACACACTACAGTAGCTTTCTAACGAATGTTATATACACGCTCCCTTAATTGCACATATAATAAAAACAATTATCAAAAATTAACCTTTAGCTCATTTTCTGGATTTCTGAACTTCTAATAGACACAAAAGAGATTGTTTAGTCACATGCTATGCAAAATAGCAAGTTAGAGTATGAAATAGTAATTATAAAAAAAATTCTAATATTGTTGTTTATATTTTGTTAGAAGACTAAGCATCTTCCAATCACAGAACTCAGTGTTAAACATCATGGCATTTTAATGTCAAAAGCTGTATCAAGATTTTAGTAACGCTTCTAACATTATTGCAGATAAATAATTGCATTAGCAAGACTTGAGAAGAAATATATAGGCCTTTGTAGTGAAGTGTTTATAAACTGATAGTGCCTTCCTTTCTCCTTTATTAAAAATGTGTAAATCACTTTCAAAACCTCGAATACTCTTTAACCTGTTTCTTTTTCTTTTAAAAAGACACCAAGACCAAACCAGAGAGTTGATACTTCCGCCTTGTTTCCAACTCCTTGGGAAAGGAGCAACAGAGTGAATATAAAAATGATACTGTGCTACCTTTTGCCTGTGAACCAGACCCATGCATTCAACACATGCCGGTTAAACTGACACCCAGATGGATTACAAGAGAAGTAATACAGATTAGTGTATTATTCGCTCTATGTGCCATTCGACTTCAATGGACAGAGTACATAATGTTAGCAGATTAATACTTGATCAACATTTCCCCCCACCCCTCCCATCAACACACACACCTTTTTTCCTCTCAGCTCTACTCCCTTTCTATTTAAATGAAAAGATAAATACAAACAATGCAAATCTCAGAATAGTATTCCGATAAGTCACAAAAAAACAAAATTTAGTTAATGCTGTCTAGTAAAAGCTAGATGCTATATTGGTGTAAATACTGTATACCCTCATCATAGCCTTGTCATGTGTCAGGCCTTGGCACAACAGGGTGTCAAGTATTTTGATTTAGTGCCCTAACCGTTTATTATAGGTATTCTAATCTTGCATCTATTTCATAACATACTCCGTACAAAGTCATTTATTTATAAGACAACTTGAGCAAAATATCTGTAAGAATTATCCAAAAATACGATGTTAAACCTAATAGTTTTAATTGCACTCTTCGTTTCTGTTCTTTACTAATACAATTTCAGTAGAAAATTTTCTAAGTAACACAGAAACACTTCAAGTCAAATTATATGTCCTATCTCAGATTTCAAGCAATATTACTCAAAATAATAAGAGTCTTTAGCACATTAGCTGGTTCTAGCAAAATTCGCATTTCAGCACTGAATTTGTAATGTTTATTACATTTTTTTAATAATTTTTTGAAAATAGTAACTTTAACCTATATTCCTATCTAGGAATATCTATACTATGTGCATATGTTTATACACAAATCATTCCTTATAAAAGCAGCAATTTTATTCAGAAAAATATTTGAAACTACTGACATTTTTCTTCATTTATCATTTCCAACTGAATACTGTTAGCTAATCAGAGAAATGACTAAGTTAACATACAGAAATATATTTAAAGATTCTTCACAGAGAAGAGCAGACACTAATTAATGACTTGTACAGAAGTTTTTACTTACAAGTTGCACTGTTTCATTCTAATTACATTTATATCTTGTCCACTTTTGGCATGCATGTTATATGTATTTTCTGAAAGAGTAGCTATTATATGTTAAGGCACTAAAATATAACATTTTATTTCTGCAGCTTTTGCAGCAGACAGCATTGTTTTAAGAATGACAAATTATCAACTAAAAACGTAAACTTATTTCTCCATTTTTGAGGTATTGCATTTTGAGTCATTGCACTGACTCAGAAGCATTTTGACAGAAGGAGGATGGTTCTGCCTGTTTTTCCATCTCCTCACTCACACATACACTTTTTTTTTTATTTCTTGTTGCTGACCACTATTAGCTCGAGACAGGAACAGTCTCTTCCCAAGTCAATTCTCATTTTTCTTTATGGATCTGACAGCAGGAGGTGCTGTATAAACAGTGTGACTGACACTTGGCTTACACCTCTCCTCCCCCTTCTACATAGACTGGTTGCATGATCTATGTGATTCATTCATTCTTAACTCTGGGGGCCCAAGATGATTTTAAAATCTGAGTTTCTTCACTGGTTGCTTAATTTCTCCATAATACTTCCCTGAAAAAAAATGTATGTTGACTTTTTCTTCATTACCTAATCTTTAAAAATATGTATATTCTTATATAAGTGAACTAAAAATCACTGCACTCAACCAGTTAGGTTTTTTTACTTTGTTTTTCTTAAAATAAAGCATCTATATAAAGAGAAATTAAGTCACCTTATTGCTCTCAAAATACAAAAAGCTACATTCAGTATCTGATTTGTCATTTTCTTTCCCCTGAGCTATAATTTCCCCAAACTAAACTAAACTAAACCCTGCTTATCTGCTACTAAGTGCACATGTAAGTAAAAGCTTAGTCATTTTCTTAACTATACATGTATTTTTAATAATGGTATATCCCTTATGCTTAGAAATGTCTTTTTGGTTATTGAAAGAAATTTTTTCACTGAATAGTTCTATGTGGAGAATATGAGACTTAAAAACTGCATATGCTGAACAAGCAATGTTAAATAACTGCTTTAGAGAATTTCCACATAATTCCACATAAGAAACATGACAGCTAGGCACAGTGTGTAGCTAAGAGGCACATGACATCCCCCACTAGAAGAGAGGTACAATTAGCTCCTTTTTATTGTCGCCTTTCAGATTATAGAAGCATTTTGTTTTCCTACCAAGAAGTGCAGCTAATGCAATATGTCAGCTTTCTTTATGACACAGCGCCAATCAGTGCTTTTAGACAACCAATACATTTGAAAATGAGAACAAAAAACAGACTTCTAAAGAGTGGGACGACTCACCCGTTTGCAACAGTTTGCAGACTTTAATCACTGGTGCAGGGCCAATAGAACTCCTTGGATGTATATCCTTGCTCCTGAGGGGCTGATGCCTTCTTAGGGGACCCATAGAGGTCCACGCAAAAGTGTGATCGAATTCTGTAAGCATGGAATTCTGCAGGCATTTGTCGAGCAGAGAAACTATGCAAAAAAAAAAAAAAGAAAAAGAAAAAGAAAAAAAAATTACTCTTTTGACCCAACTGAAATATGCAGTCTGTAACACAGCATCAGCACTAACTCTTAATATCTATTATTTATATCTGACCTGGGTTAAGTCCTGGAAAAGCAACTCCTGCATTTCTAGTGGCCACCATGAAGGATGTATTTATATTGAGACACCCCCCCCATGAAAGACTCATAAGCTTCGTGAGCACACCTGAATAGTTCTGAAGTGTGCCTAACTAGCTGCACAGAGTGTCATGGTGTGCACTGATTGCCTTATCTTCTCATTTATCACAGATGAGTTGGAACCAACCTTGCTGAAATCTGCTTGCATTGTCCTGATAAAATTGAAAGATCCATGTTGTTTCTGTACAGTTTCCTGTTGAGGAGCTTACATACACCTAACATATAAGTGCATTCATAATATCTAACAGCATTCATAAATCTAATCACTCTCATAAACAATATTACAGCCTTTTTGGGGCCACTGCTCAAAAAACAACTTTTAACAAATAAAAATGCTCAGTGTGGCTGTTGAATAATGAGGAAAGGTCAAATGAAAAGATACATAAAGTTGATTCATGGTAGTGGTCTCAAGATATTTTTCTTGCTATTTTCAGACAGTAAACCACTGTAAAGGTTGTGAGTATTCCCTCCGGGAACTAATGCCAAAATATGTGATAAATAAGGAACGGTTATTTTAGCTTCAGGTATTACTTAGATGCGCGTGCTTCACAAATATTTTGAATTCTACTGTACTATGATATACAATAAAACAAAAATGCATTAAATCGCATTCCATTCTTTCACATGATATTCTAACATAAAACAGCAAAAACCTCTCAAATCTGCTTTTACTAGAAACATACTTCAAAACACACTAGAAATGCACAACAAAATTAATTGCAAGACTTACTTTGAAAAATGCATGATTTTATATCTAATCGATTTACAGTCATATACTCATGCTTGCTATATAGATCTTATAAATGGTCAATTTCCTAGGTACATGAATACTAACAAAAGACTACATGCTTTGTCAGAGAAGAGTATCAGTAGATAAATTACACTTTTTGCATACTTTATTGAGAACAGAAGACAAACATCGCTTTCAGACATGACAAATATTTAGCCTCAATAGCTGTTCATTCAGCTGTGAAAACTAAGGTCTTACTTTGATTTGGTTAAGAGATATTCATATGTGGGCTCTTTTATAACTGGTGACTTCAAGACAAATATTGAAGTAACATAAGAGTTAAACCCATCTTTGCAGAAAACAGGAAAACATGCAAGAGAATGCACTTTGCCCCTGTTGAAATGCATTTTAAGAGGGACTTCAGCATGCAAGAAAGCAAAATCATATGTTTATTTCTGAAAAGCCTTACTTTTTTTAATTGTCTTGGAATCCAAGTTGTATGACTTCCACTATTTCAGGAAATAAGATTATCTGATCAGTAGTTTTTTTCATTCTCTATTCATTCCCATATGACAAACTCCAGGAGTTGCAATATAAACTTGTCTGCTTCTTCAGCATATATCCCTTTACCTACTTCCATCCTGCATACTTGGCATAAATGTCTTTTCTGCAATGGTCCACAAAAATCTTTTTACATTTTTCAAGTCCACTGACATTCCAGCTGTTAGGTTCACAAGACAGTACGGTCTCTTTTCAGCAAGATAGGTAAGATTTGCTTATATGCTACCCTTAATGCTCAACTAGAACCACAACACTTAAGTAATACCTTGAAGGAATCCTATCATATTATTATTCAGAACTAATTTACAATTGTCTACAGCCCTCACACGATCTTCGTTACAGTGGAAAAATGGTAAGCAGAAACTTCTATCAGTGACAAATGGAAACAGGAACAATTTAAAAAATATATTTAAAAATATATATGTATGCACACAGGCTCAATGTTCTACAGACACTGGAACACAGGTTAAAGTCTTGTCTTTAAAAGTCAACGATAAAAACTCCACTGACGTAAAGAGGAGCCAGACTTCACACAAGGCAGCTGAGAATGGTTCAGTAAACAAGGTTAATATTGATATTAGTCTATTCTTCCTAACAATGCTAAATAGTAACTCTATTTAAAATATACCTTAAAGGACTCCAAGATATGCTGACCCCGCCAAGGGGGCATGCTGCCCCGGATTCACTATTAAAGCTCTGCGAACATGGCCATTTAAGTAAATTGAGAAAAATATTTCAAAATAATCAGCAAACTAGACACCCTACTCTAACAACACTGCTACTTGTTAACACAAAAGACATAAAACTAAAACAATGAAATAAGGTAATGAACAATGTCTGACCAAAAACAAAGGTGAGAGTCAATTTACTTGAGTGAAAGAGGCAATATCAGAACTAAATTTACATTCAGCGTCCTGATGGGCAGTGGTTATGCACATGCTTGTTTTCAACAAAAGAAGATGAATCGGTGGTCCCCAAGTAAAGTGACTGGAAATATTACAAGCAACTTTGATAAATTAAGTCAATGTTCAGTGCTTTTAACTAAGATTTCAAATCAGAAATGAATGTCAACACTTGTAGTACTGCTTTTCTGACTAAAAGCAGACTGAAAGAGCTGTGATCAAGCATTTGGATTGCGTGTTACTCTCAAAAACTATTTTTTTTAACCAAAAGAATTTCAACAAAAAAACACAGCTGAGTTAACTCTCCTTAATGAAGGCAGTGAATATTACAGGAGAGAGGACAGTTCTGGGACCTGGTGGAACAGCTCAGAAGTGAAAAGATCCAAAGTGTCATCTGTCAAACATACCTCTCATACGGTCTTTTGGCTAGTCACATTAAGTATCTAGCTCGATATCTTTTTAATCATTTCCATTACAAATAATCATTTTCATAAACATCACCAGATTCTACCCACAATATTTGCTTCATTACTTAACCTTTTTATTTCCAGACTCAAAATAAGCAGAGCAAGGTAGTGATTTCAAAAGATTATCACTTGACTAAAATACACCTAGCTCTGATTCCAGAAATAGCTTTAGTAATCTAGGTAAAAAATGCATTGTTGCTCAAAAATCTTTGCTCAACTAAGAATGTTTACATTGTTCTCATCTACAACTGGTAACGATATGCACTAAGAATAATTTCCAGCGAAACCATCAATCATATGGCTAGGTATCTAGATATATCATCAGTCATCCGCATCAAATGTTGATATCAATACATAACCAATACATTGATATAGGTGCCAATTTATTGATTCATTACTGTTATGCTGCTAGCCTTTTTGATGACACACTTGAATGGTAAGGAGTTCACAAAGCTCCCAGCTCCTCTAGTCTGCTTCGAAACTACAACTTTACAGACCCCAGTTCACCAAGGAAAGTAAAGTGAGTATACATGCAAAATTTGACTATGAGCGATGCACAATTCTTTCAACATTATAGCATTACAAAAGCTAAACTAAATAATATTAAGTTCAGTAACAAAGGTGTCAACCACAGCAAAAGGCAGTCAACTCGTGGAAATAAAGCACAGGGGCCAACCAAGAAAATTCTAGGTACTACTCGTTAGGACACTTAGTTATTAGATTAGCAATGTTAATGTGAGATATTCATGGAATAGCTGAGAAGTATCCACTAACAGAATCTTACATCAAAACATTAAATTATAAAGAAAGGAGCTTCCATTCAAGGGAAGCTGTTGAAATGAAGGTAGTCAGAAAGCCAGAAAAAAACTTTGAGTATAGAGAGGAAAAAATCTAAGGATTTTTTAAAATTAATTTATGCACAATTTCAAAATACTGCATCAGCACTTGTCCACCAAAATTGAGTTTGGCCGCTGTCTATTACTTAGCTTAGAAATTTACTGAAATAAAAGTGTTGGCATAATGCTAAAATCCTTTCAATACCATTTTCATAGCAAAGAAGCTACATAACAAGTATTTATTTTCTTATCTACCAGAATAACAAGAAATAACCGATTTTTTTTCTTCCAGTTGGAAAAAAACCCTTCAGTATGGTAACAATATAAGAAATCCTTCTTATATATCTCAAGGACAAGGCTTTTCCTAAAGGAAGTTTCAATATGCATTGCATATTGTAGATACATCACAGAGGGCACCAGACCATATTACCTTACACATGTGCTTGATTGTTTCCTATATTTAGGTAACATCACAATACTATGTGTTCCAGAGCAACTGGCATTACTATCTAAAATTGTGGTCTGCAGAGGAAGACAGAATGAGGGAGAACACGCAGTTTCCTATCTTGTTTAAATTACCTCAGTGCATTTTTACTCAAACAAATACTAATCTAGCAGCTGCTGTGTACTTTTGTTTACATGCTGTATGTCAAATCATATTGTCCCTAAGGTACTTATGAGAGATGCTTTAGCAGTCATTTTCTTAAATACTGATGCCTATCTGAATTTGGATTTTTCCACCATTGAGCAGAATGACAAGCACACGATTGCTGTACTTAAAGCAATCTTTCACAGCTGCTTTGCTTTTTCAGTGATCCCATTAAATTGACGGCATATGCCTGTGGGGTCCACAATGTTACAATACTGCTGAACAAGATGTGGATTGTACAATACCAATTTGTACAATAGGATTTGGCTGTATTGTGGGAACTATTTCCCAGGTCATTCTTTTATTTATTTTTAAGCTGAACAATACACAGCTTAAAAACTATCATCCATTTCTGTGACCTTCACTGAACACCTGGTTATACTAATTGTTTAGAAGTCCATACTCTTTAACAGTCAGTGGTAGTAGGCATGAAAACCTATGAAGACTCCTCAGTTCCTAAAATGAGCATGAGTCATGTCTTTTCTTGAACTGAACGAAGTAGCTGTGCATTAAATATGCTGGCACATCTTCTGCTTGAGCAAGTGGACCGAAATGGTGTGAATTGTTAATGCCTTGCTGCTTTGGTTCACGGCTTGTGATTGATCATTTGTAACTATATCTACCCCTTGTTCCATGAAATCAAGTATGGAGTAATGGGTTCATCAGATTTTTGGGTTAAATTGAGAGTGAAGAGGTACTGTGTGTGGAAATAAGAGTTGCCATGTTCAGGGCTGGCCTTGTAACAGCATGGAATCTAAAGGCGATATTCAAAACCACTTCACTCATCATACGCTTACTGATTCTGAATAGGGTCCATTTGCAGGGGACATTTGGTAGTTTTCCAATACACTTTATGCCTCTTTCTCCCTTTCTCCACTTCAACCACCCTGCACTTTTTTTTTTTTTTTTTTACACTAGAATAGCTTTTAACAGGTCAGCATACAAAATTAATCTATTTAAATAACTTGCTATGTAAAAATAGCATACATCTAAAATGACATCTTCCTACTAATTAAAGATACTATCCAAATATTAAGTCATTTAAATGCCTTCTATAAAAAATTCATAAAGTTTTATTCATTATTCAGATGTCATTAAAAAAATCTTTCAGAAAATTAGATCAAGCCAAAAAGAGTTACACAATCCTTAATTTTACTTCTCACTCCATTCACATTGCAAGAGTGACATATATTTCCAGCCACTACATGACTTTTGACTTCACAAACAGTAGCATGTGGGACCACAGCAAAAACAAGCCAACAGCAACCAGAAGTGACAACTTGTGATGGCCTGCAGGAAAGTAATGACATTACAATATCTCTGCAAAACAAGAAAGGTAATGTGTCTGCAATGTCCAAGTGTTCCATCTGCACAACAGAACCCTCACTATACTTATATACATATATATGCTTTAATACATATATACATAGACTTATTTCATCTGCTCTGTTTGACTTCAATCAAGCTAAAACATGTTTCCATCATTCTAGAACAGTAGATGAAAGCTATTTAATTGTGTGTCAACTGTATCTGGATTTGGATACAACAAAACCACTCATACTAAACTTTTAGTCAGCTTTTCCTCCTTTCTCATCTTCTATGGAAAGTTCAAAGTCAAATTAAGACACAATTGAAATCTAAAATAGCATATAAATTTTAACTATTGCTATGTCTTTCTTAAAGTAAAGGACTCCAATCTACCTGGTTAGATCATAGATCCACAGAATAGTTGAGGTTAGGGGATCAAGACTCCACAACACAAGCTGTGTTAACCCAAGTAACCCTTTCCAATGTTCTAATCATCCTCACTGTGGAAAAGCTTTCTTATGTTTCAGTGGAATATCCTACACATCAGTTTTTGCCTACTGCTTCTTTTCTTGTCACTAGGTATCACTGAGAAGAATCTGAATACTTCTTTTTCCTTTGTGCCAACAGATCTTTATAAAGATGATCCAGAGTAAATAGTCATTGCTCTCTGCTTCTCTTCCACCTAAGCAATGACCAATTTTTAACTTTCTATAATGTAAAATGAAGAGACTCAGTTGTGGCTTCTTCATGGCATTTTACAGTAACTTTAAGAAGGTGAATGAAACTGATGATTGAGCAACTGAGCCCACAGTTTTATGCTTGACATTTGCTGATACTACTATTCCGAACAATCATTCCAAATATGCCCTAAAGAACTGGTCACAGAGATTTAACAGGATAACAGTATAGAGAGCAATACTATCTGAGTGTGTATTCACAGACCACAGGTCATTGCAGAACTAAGTAACAATTAGCAGTTTCTTTCAAGTTACCCAGTGACTCAAGCCAAAGGCTCCCGAGCAGTAGTTAAGGTATATAACATTCTAGTGCCAGTAACACTGGTTGCAGTAGAAATGGGAAGAGAAATGGGGCCTTGATTATTCTTTCTATACCTTTATAATTGAGCCCTGAAAAAGTCTATGCTAAATTCTATGCAAATAAAAAATTCATTCAATTTCATCTTGGATTCTCATTAAATATACCAAGTTTAAGTAAGATCTGACCTTCAGATATTCTGCTTACTCAGATAGAAACTTGGCTTTAGAAACATTTTTGAGAAAAAAACAAGCCTAGTAATAAATTTCTTTTGGCTTGTTGTGAAACATCACAACACAGGAGATCAAGAGCTATTTCTTGACTGTGAAGTCAAATTCTAAGTTATGTTTATTCTCCATACTTGCACTGTTCTTAATTTTTCCCCGATCATTCACCACAGCTTCCCCCCCCGCCTCCAATCAGACAACACTCTCCCTATTAAGATTTTATGCTGAACCATGTTTCCAGCCTGAAACTATATATGTCAGTAAACTGACTTTAAAATACAGATTTCATGTTAGCATTTTTTCACCAACAGTTTTATATATATATCTATAAACATGTGTATATATATGCACACACCTCAGAATAATGTATTATTGAATATTCAGCTCATTTCTGTCCAATTTTACAGCAACCACAATACTTGAGATTATGTACAATCGCTTTTTATATCGTGCAATACTATTCAGTGAATGCAAATTTTGTCAAAGAGGTGAATCATCACTATACAAGTTATGTGATTGAAGTAAAAATTGTCACTCAAATGATGCTAGTGAAATTACCTGTCATTCTCTGGAATAAAGTCCAAGACAGATAGCCCACAAGTTACTTTTTTGATGACAGCAATGGCAATCGTCTGACCAAAAGAATTCATTTTTCATGAAACTGTTGAAAATAAAAGTCAAAAGGAAAATACAGAAGTTTACTCATCCATCATGTCTATTTTAGGTCAGTCAGGTGAAGATCCTAAGCTATCCTTTTCAAGTTGCTCATATACAAAATGGAACTGAAGGAAAAAACTTTATCAGTTTGGTAAATTTTAAGAGAAAAGAGTCCAGTTACAAGAAGCAAGTACAATAAAACATGCTCAAATTTAATATTGATCAGTAGGAGATGAAGCACCTAAGTCAAACATTTCACATCAAACTTGGGGCAGATACTACCTCTCTGGAGAAACACAATTTGAAGACAAAGGAAATGAACAATCAATAAAACATTTCCTCTTCCCCCATCCCTCTCTTTTTTTCACTTTCTGTGGCAATTACAGTAGTCTCAATACTCAAACATGCACAACATTCTAATATACACAAACATGAACTCTTCTGGAGATGCTGTGTACCACTTACGATGGTTGAATTACAGTTTATTCCCTCCCGCTTTTGCCAGATTTCTGGACCAAACTGCAATCTAATTCAGGACACATTTTCTGGCTACATGGAAGAGAAGACAGGAAAACGTGCAAGTATGCACTACAATAGCTTACAGTTGATGCCAAGTCTTTCAGGAATTGTTGTTTTTGATACTCACATTGAATGGATTTAGGAGAAGCTCATTCAAATCTAAGAACCACCAAAAGGTGTGGACTGGTACTTGTGTTTCTCACATCAAAAGTTATTTTCAGAGCTGTGTCTTAGAAAAAAATCAGTAATTCTCTTTCCTTTTACATCTTTTAAGCATACTTATTGTTTCCATTTTTAATCATATTTTCAGTGTTAATTACAAAGGCATTTTCAGCATGAAACAAATACATCTCTAACAAATTACAAATCTTGTTTGTCATATGCCCTCAGCCTATTGACTGCTGTACGTTAGGTGGACAGTTTGTTCACGGTAAGCCTACACAGTGATCAAATGAAGATGTGAGGAGGACTGAAGACTGTACAATCCAGCAAGTGCAGCTTTGAGAATGGAAACAGAGCCAGCAATTGTTCATTTTGACATTTTTCCTCATTCTTTCAGTGATACAAAACTATCAGACTTGAAGTGAGAATATTATCACTGTTGCCAGGATTTCAAAACAAAGAATCAAGCATTTGAGTTTCCTGAGTTTCAGACCTTCTTAAGAAACAACAAATGTTTGCATCACTTGAATTTACTCTTTGTACACCTAGGTCTACTTTTCATTAATGAATAGAAGCTTAAAAAAGAAATAAGTTACTGACTGCAAAGAAGCATACCTTTTTTTTCTTAACAATTCTAACAACTTGCTGAGCCTTTTTAAATTACCCAGGGGGAAAAATGTTGCATTTTTAATCATGCTAGGTAAAGAAGGTTGCAAAAGGAAGGAATCATGTCCCATCCAGATAATAAATAGCATCTGCATTCAAAGAAAGGAATACTCTTGCTGCTTCTGATATAGTCTATGATGTGACCTGAGGCAAGTATGCTGAAAAAGATCACACTATATTTTTGTGTGTATGTGTACACACACAATGTGTTTTATTCACAATGTGTGTGCAAACACAATGTGTTCACACAATGTGTGATTCTCATTTAGAGATCCACTCGAAAACAGGATTATGGGATCAAAATTTCAGTCGGACACAGCCCTACAACTCTTTTTAATGTCAACTTTAAGCAAGAAATTTTTGCTCCTTAAATCACTATACAGCAGTAAGTGGCATTTCAAATTAATGTTTCAATTTTATGCTTACTATTGCACTGAATACCTGAGACAACAAAGTATCATTCTTCCAGTGGAGATCAAGATCCTTGTATAAAATATAAACCGCACATAAAACGTTAACTATGCCTTTGACTTTAGTTGCTCTTGCTCTCTAAGAAGTGTAAGCTAAAACAATCCCAAGTTCTTCTAACTTCTAGGCTCATTTTTTTTTTTTTTTCCTACCTCCATGCCACTTTTCTCTTGGGCTGACAAAAGCAAATACATGGCTGAACAGTCAACACGATTCTAGAAGTTATTCAAGACTAATATTGACAATAATCGGTTTAATTTTGATCTGCAACTTCCCTACGTTTCATTGAATTACAGAACAAAACTCTTGGGCTGTCAAGAAAGTTACAAGAACTGTAAAGGCTAGAAACAAAAGATGAAGGGCAAGACTGCTTTTTTGGCAACTGTACTGGAATATGCTATCTTCAAATGTGTTTAAAACTGCACATTGGATCTCTTCTGGAGATCCTTTTTAAGTAATAATCTGTTAGACCTCAAGGATAACAGCTTGATAGTTTTCATCAAGATAGTTATTACTAGAAAAAAAAGGACTGCTTAATACTTTTATCACTTTTCTTATTTTGTGTGATATTCAAACTTGAAATATTTTGCTTAAATAGACAAGTTTGATTTATGTATTTTGACTATCCTCACTGGTCTGGTATCCCGAATGTTGCAGCTAACAGTTAAATTTGTAGAGTGTATTGTTTAAAACATTGAATGCAATCATGAATAACAATTTCTTGAATACCTGCATCAACGCTGAAAGTAATAAAGCCAGCTACATATGGCATAATAGAGGATAATATTTTTTATCACTGTTGATCTTAAAAAGCATAGAGATGGTTGATTTTTTTTATACAGAGCCTGACAGATAAATTACTCAATATGAAGACTAGAATAGCCCTATAAACTTTAAAAAAGAATTTCTGAAATTCAAAATGCAAGGTAGACTGGAAAACGAATGCTTCAGTCATCCAAAATTAATTTTACAGAGTGAAACTGCTACAAACTGCTGTAAATCAGAAGCAGGTATAGGTATGAAAATTTATATTATTAGAACCTTATTTTCCATAATTCATAGGATAATAAAGGTGAGAAGATACAGTGTATATATGCCATATGTCTTCAGGACAAACACATACACTCTACTAGATTTATGCAATTACTTACAAAGAGTGTAGAAACAACTCTAAAATCTGCTGAATTGCCAAGTAGATATTTAAATACCTCTGTGTAGGAGAAAAAACACTGCATGCATCTTAACTTCAGAAATATGCTGTTATATGTTTAGAGTATCATATCTTTTAACACAAATATTTTGGCTATTTAAAATTTAAATACCTAACCCAATCAAAATTTAATTTATGTTCAAAAATAAAATAGAAGGCAAGTCTCAATTTTACAAGTACTGTGCCTTGGTAATAAATCCTCAGATAATCTGTACTGCTGGATAGCATGGACAAAGCTAGGAGAAGAAACTGTCATTAATAGAGGCAAGATGGTTACAGAACAAAAACCATCAGATTAAAAGGACAGCTATCAGGAGACAAGTGAGCTCTGAAGTAAAAATTTAACCAACTTGAACACTTTTAATCCCAGCTTTGTTGAAACCCAAGGCTCTGTAATTTAAGCACACTTTAGCTGTTTTTAAAATATGTAGTCATACAAATACCTTTTGGAGATACTAATAAAAAAATTACCTTTTCAAATTGATTCTGTGATGCAACAATGTCAAGCCATCCTACCCTGTGCAGTTCTTAAATACTAAAACTATGAGGTCTTCTCTTATTTTCTTTATGCAGTTGGAAATTAGTCATTTTCGTCAGTTGACATCATTACAAAGAACCAGGCCATTCACTGCCCAAGTTACTTCCTTCATTAATGACAGATGGTCTGAAAGAAAAATAAGTAAAAAATTAAAGTCAATATTTGGCTTCAAAATTAAAACAGACACATCATGCTCCCCTTTCTCTATTACCTTAATAACATACACTGGCTTGTCTCCACTTAGATACTGGTCTTTTCTGAAATGCTACCACCAGATTCCTACTAACCGTGACATAAGCTGTAGCAAGCTGTCTGCAGTGATAGCCTGCATAAATCATCATTCCTGAAGGGAACAGATGTTCAGGGTATGAAAGAGTAATACCACAATTTAGTCATAATTAAAATTCACCTTAGCATGCCTCTATCAATGAGCAGAGAGGAACATTTCACTTCTCACCTACAAAAATGAAATGCTTCTCATTTTTTTTGCTTCAAGAAAATTAAATTTGATCTTTTTGAACAATATGAGTTGAATTCTGACATTACATCATGGAAGTGAAATAAAAATCTGAAACTATTGCTTTTTAAAACCCTAGAAAATGACCTCTAAGTGATGTAGGGCCTCTGCATGAAACACATTTGCAATTAAATCTCAAAAAAAAATATTGCAGTACATAGCATGGGGAAACATTCAGAAGCCATCGAATTGAAAACCACAACTGTGCCAATAAATTCTTTATACCAGTAACTACTCAGTCTGAACTCAATATATACTGAAACCTGGGGATGAAACCCTCTAAAATTATCTGTTAATAATCCAACACCACTAAAATCACATTAGATTAACTCTGTTTTATTAGAAAATATAAAGCAAGAGTTCATTATTTTAATGTGCACATCTCCCTCAAAACCACAACAATGTAAATGTCTGTGCTTTTATAATAATCTGCACAAGTTTCAGACCATACTTCATCTTTCCATTGACAACATTGGCAATTAATGTGAAAAGCAACTCATTTATCTGACATTCCCTGTTAAAATACTCTGAGTGACTGTCAACCTATGGAACTTCAAACTGCGTTCTGAACCCCGTGGATCAGATCTTTAATGAATGTAAACTAGCTAACTTCAATTCAGTACAGCTGTGCTAATTTAGACTGAAAAAGCAAATTTGTAAATCTGTTAACCTAATAGGAGTCATTTTGCAAACAAGGTTAACCTTCAGCAAATTCCACTTTTAAGTTTTTACAACATTGTAAAGCTTTTGTTCTCCTCCTATAAGGATGCATCTAGATTGGTGTTCTAGTTCAAACAAAGAATTAAATTTTTAGTGAGTAAATTACTTTATGCATTTTAGCTTGTTTGGCAGTTCCAGATCACACATTGTTCATTTAGTCTCATGCAAAGGAAGTCCATGTGCTCCAGAGGCCTACCTAAATCACTTCATTAAGCCTCAATAGCACAGAGCAAATGTTCTTAAGAGGTATGTAGTTAGAACTTAAGGTCCTTTGCACTGACTGTTTTGTTCTATAGATCTGTTTTTCTGTACTGCACTATAGGCCAATGTGGATGTAGCCTCATTTTCCTGTTCTGCTCTCCACAGCCATTCCTTTTTCTAGTAGGAATTTACCAGTTTCTCTCATCTTTACTTTTCAAACAGCACAAACATGCACTTACAGATGCCAGGAAGGTATTCTATGGTTGCTGTGAACCAGCATTTGCTGCTAAAACTCTAAACATTCTCACTGCCACAAATCAGGCTTCAGCATTAGAAAGCTTTGCTAATGTTAACTGCTCTGAGCAGAGTCTTAGGATCCAAACATCCTTCTATCCAACACACATAAAACTAGATTACTAAGTAGAAGAGAGAAGTACCAAAAACTCCAATTCTTACTTCCCACAGCTAAAACTAACAACAATACATTGCAAAATGCAGGTAGGCTTCACTGAATTGCTTAATATTTTGCATGTTTCATAGTTCCGATTATTAAATATCTCATTGCAATTGCTTTATTATTTACATAGGAATGTTTCGCTCTATTTTTCAGTAGAGACATCAAAATAGTTGGACAGGATCACACAGAAGAACTTGAAATAAACTTTTCCCTAAAAAAGGATGCTCAAGCATCAGTCAGTTATCCATGTAGAAAGGTATTTTACTCTCACAAAAAAAATAACTATTTTGGAAGATATTCTTATGCTGTACAGCACTTTTTGTTAATACCACCCATTTGTTTTAAACAACTAATTTAGGGCAACTAGAGATAACAATATCTTATCCATTCAACATAAAGGATAGCCTGCTACCTCTTGGAACCTGCTGATGGAGGGACCAAGTGGTATTAGATTTTAGTCTCATGAAGATGCACCTGAAAAGGTATGATCAGCGCATCTTCAATTACTTCCTCTTGGGACTTGACTATGAATTCACTCCTGATTACCAAAGATAAATAGTTTGTAAACAAGAAGTATGGGCAATAAGTCTAATTTGACTACTAGTTGAAAAAAACATTCAACTATCATTAGACAACAGGTATTGAGATACCAGCTAAGAAATATGATATTGCATATTTTGAAATTAGTGTATTTTCAAACAAGCTGCAGAACGTGTTTCAGCCTTGGAGGACTGCATTTAACATACACTGGTACATTTACTCATATACATTTTACAGAAATTATGTCAGAGTGTATCTTCACTTTAAAAATTAAATTATGTTAGCTCTTGAAGTGATTCGAGCTCTGCATACTAGCCAGTAATTCAGTAGGGAATGTGAGGATCAATTTCAAAAATTGCAACTACAGTAAAAACTGAATAAGCAGAACATTATCTAACCCCTCCTTAAAGACAGTAACACAGATGCTGCTAAGTGGTTATGAATGTTTAATCATTTCAAGACAACAGAGTTACAGTTCAAGTTCTTATGCAAAAGGAATCCCTTTCTCCAGCAAAATGTTTCATAAGGGCAAGACAATACACCGATCCATTATAAATTAAAAGTCATTGACAGATTAACTGTCAAGTCACACAGGACTTGAATTTTCCATTCACATTTCCTATCCAAGTATTGACCACAACACTCAGGCCTGATTTTGTACATTACATACATTTCTCAATACACTGAACTCATATCAAAATGTACTATTCATACTACATCTTTCTTGATCTCTTAATTCCCATCTTTTTAATTCCTAATTGCTTTATACCTTTACTGTAGAACTACATTTACAAAGTTATGACATTTTGAAATGGTAAAAAAGTAACACTTGTAAAACATATTTGAGTATATATTCCTCTTTCATGAAACCGCTGATTTGTCTATGTACCCATTCATCATCTTATCTATTTCCTCACTTTTACAGAAACAAATGCCAACAACAACAAAAGTTCACATTTTTTAATATTGTGAAAACTGAGTGAATTTTTAAAGCTATTGTGCAGAACGTAGAAATCCATCTTAAATATATGTATTAATATCATCATATGCTTATGTGATAAGTTGACCATGTTATGTGACAAGTTGACCATGAGGCAGCAGTGTGCCCTGGTGGCCAAGAAGGCCAACGGGATCCTGGGGTGCATTAAGAAGAGCGTCTCCAGCAGGTCGAGGGAAGTGATCATCCCCCTCTACTCAGCCCTGGTGAGGCCACATCTGGAGTACTGCGTCCAGTTCTGGGCTCCCCAGTACAAGAGGGATGTGGAGCTGCTGGAGAGAGTCCAGCGCAGGGCTACGAGGATGATCAGGGGCCTGGAACATCTGCCCTGTGAGCAAAGGCTGAGGGAGCTGGGCCTGTTCAGCCTGGGGAAGAGGAGGCTGAGGGGGGACCTGATCAGCGTGTATAAATACCTCAAGGGAGGCAGTGAGGAGGAGGGGGGCGGCCTCTTTTCAGTGGTGGGCAGGGATAGGACTAGAGGAAATGGCTTCAAACTGAAGCATCGGAAGTTCCACAGGAACTTAAGGAAGCATTTCTTCACTGTGAGGGTAACAAAGCACTGGAACAGGCTGCCCAGAGAGGTTGTGGAGTCTCCTTCTTTGGAGATCTTTAAAACCCGCTTGGATGCAGCCCTGTGCCACGTGCTCTAGGTGACCCTGCACGAGCAGGGGGGTTGGACTCGATGACCTCTGAGGTCCCTTCCAACCTTCGGCATTCTGTGATTCTATGATTCTATGATAAATATAAAACTCTGGAATATATTTATAGAACATGGAAAAAATATGCATAAAGGTCTGAGTTTTGCACAATCTAAAGACTCTTGTAGTAACAAGATGTAACCCTGCATTCAATTCATACAGATGCCTCTGTATTTGGGCTACATGCATTATGCCCAAGTCACATTCCTGTGTTTAACTAAGTTTACAGTCACTCCCTTTAAATACTTGAAAGTTGTTTCTGCATGTTCTGAAGTGTCCTCATTTATCGCCACAGGCAAAATGGCTATATTTAACTAATAATGACAGCAGTTGTCATTAGATTTTAAACTCACAAACACTAGCCTGACATATTATTTGAAATATGTCTTCATTTTAGATTTGATTAAAATTGCAAACATCTCATCTTCTCTGCCAATCAAAGTGTTTCATTCCCTTGCTCTCAACTGCTCTATCCTCTTCTATGAAAATAGCTCATAGCACTAACATCCATTTAAACTGAAGACAATTTGCAGGTGTGAATATACTTTTAAGCACATTTCAAAAAATACATATATATAATTTTTGTTCATCACACATCAGGGTTTCTCGATAGCAGTCTGAAACCCAAAACTTATAAAAATCACACTTTGGTTTAATATTTTTCATTTTCATTATTAGATTATTTGCAATTCTAACTGCTAGAAAAATATTGAATACATTTTCTCTATTACAAAATAAAAGTGTGATTTTTCATATTATTATACTTGAGCAGTTCAAAAGCAATGTAGATCAATTCACAAAATCCAAAAGTTACTGTCAATACAGTTTAGAAAAAATAATTAACATTTATTAACCTCATTTCATATAAATACATCCCTTATTTCCACTCAAGTAAATCTATACTTACTAGAGCTGACAGGTGTACATGCCAAACAGAAGAAATAGGAGTAGCCTTTAGAAGACTGCAGCAACCATTTATTATGAGAAAAACGTATGGAGATGGCATGCAAAGTTTTACCTATTTGGCTCTCCACCCCAACCCAGAATTCTGATAAGCTTATACTTCACCATGCTGACAGTTCTCTTTCATTTGGCAGAGGGTAAAGCAAAAGCACATCCAAGAGCAAGACAGAATGAGAAATGGAGTGAGTGATGGAGCAAATCAGAGAGAGAACAAGTGAACACCATTAAGAGTAAGAGAGGGCAGGACCAGGCCCCAAGCAAAAGCCAGCAAGGCAAGAGCCAGCAACTGATTTTGGTTTGTGCGGTTTTGCTATTAGAGTTGAGACTTAATTACAAATAATTTAAAACAGATTTTTATTGCAATTACCAACTTAGTTCAGGGTACAGAACTTAAAATTTATCTCTTTAAAAACTTATCTTACCATTTCCGAAAAATAGGCCAATATTCTTAGTTTATTCTGTGTCAACGACATACTGGAACTGGAATGCACTGGTATCTAAACAATTATCTAAATTTCGCTTACATAATTTGTATAATTCATCTTATGCTTATACAGATTTTTAGTTACAACTTTTTTAGTTGGAAAAAAAAACTCCAAAGAAACTGCTCTCTGAAAAAATTACTTTCTGGTGATTTTTCTCCTTGAATATTAACTATATATGCAACATATTATCACTTTTATCTATTTAAAGCTTTTCTAGTTAACGAGTTAACGAGCTTTTAGTTTATCATAACTGCTGGGTTCTCAAATAAAATCTATTTGACCAATATATCATGATAAAAAAAGATTTTCAAATTAATAACGCTATCAAGCTAAAATGTATCACTAAAGTTTTCTTATATTTAAGACGCCTTTAAGCTAATGAAAAAGAAAATACATCTTAATATTAGGGGAAAAGAAGATTGACACTACATATTTTCTGTGGTACTGAATCATCAGTAAGACTCTGTATTTGTGGAGAAAAGGCTGCTCTGAAAGCTCCTGAATTCTCCTGTGAAAATACTGTATTTACCTTTTGCTGCCACACACAGCCATACTTTGCCAGCAGACTAATCTAAAGGACAAGAGACACACATTAAAATGTGACTAAACCACTACACTCCTGCATAAACTCAGGATTTCAAGACCACTAAATAGCTACAGAGTCAAATAAACTTGAGTTCTACACCTTAAAAATAGGAATACTTCAATTATTAAAAAAAATCCAAAAAATAAAGGTCTAAAACCTTCTTAAAGTATTATTTCTCTAATAGTATTCAAAGGCCAGAAATTTCTGAAGCTTTTATTGCCATTGCTCTCAAAGACTAGAGTCTCAACACATCAATTTCTAACACATCTTAAGACTGTTTCCTAAACATTAATGTATGAAGTCCTACATTGATATGAATGCAGGGAAAGCCCCTCTACCTTGCAAAAAGTATACACTGTTTACACCAACTTTTTTTTTTTTTTTAAGGGAACTTCAACTTATATTTGGAGTAAAACATGTGAGAGAGATTAGGGTCATACTCAGCAGTTTCTCATATAAAGTTCTGTCACTGCATACCTTCCTCAGTCACACTGATGAACTCCAGTAACAAGTATCACAGAAAATCCCAGTTAGGGGATTTTCTCTCCAAGTTAGGAGACCACATCAGCCTTCATGAGTCCAACAGCACCACTCAGACCCAAAGAGAGCCCAGACACTAGCCCAACACACACCACGCTTCCCTCACGAGGCCTTTTATGCACTCCCAGGCAAGTTCCAGAAGCTTCTAACCAATCAGCACACGCGCTCAGCAATCTTCCCTTTTATGGAAGAGTCGCGCGCAGCTGGTTCTTGTCCGTTACAGCCAACGGCTCCGCCTACCTTGCCGGCAGCTCCTTTAAAAAGCCAGGGCCAAAGGCGGAGAGGGAGTGTGAGGCAAAGTGGCTAGATATGCTTCCCAAGGGTATGTGGACTGTGTCTTTTTGCTAACTTTTGACATATATTTCCAAATAATATATTATAGAGTGATTATGGACAAAAGAGATGGCATTAATCTCAAGTTTTTCCAGAGGGTTTCTTTTTAGGATAAATTAGCTCTTTTGTGTTGATGGGTTAAAAACACAGTATTGTTATTTAAGCTGATACTTTGAACTTAAGTGTTTCTAATGTAGTTAATAATTAAAATGGTAAGAATCCATAATTTCAGCAGCACCCACTAGAGAAAGTGGCTTCTTTTAAATGTATTCACATGTGTTCTTGTCAGTTGGGGCCTGTTATGCCAAACTTCCATTTTGGTGATTGCATGGTACCTACATGTTATTAAACAGAAAATCTTTTTTTATTTAAATATAAAACTGAAAAGCAGCATTAAGAGCAGTTATTGTGATTTTTTTTCCCTTAGAGGCCGATTTTTCACAGTGTCTGAATTAATAAAAAAATTTTAAAGAACCATATTTGTTCTTTTGAGCACACAGTACTGGAGAATTAATATAGCCAACAGTTGTAATTCTAAATGCCAAAGTGCAGCTACTTAGACAAAGTGATAGAAATGAGAACACTAATGCTTGGCTTCCTTTAGTATTTATTGCTTCTAGGCATTGGGAGTGTAGTTTTACAATTACTAAGACTTACTAGACACCTTTTAACTGTTCATAAAAACTATAGTTGAATAACAAAAAGTGGCTACATCAATTGTTAAAAATAAGTTTGTTATAAACATGCTAAAAATATTAAATGAACACAGTATGTTACTTTAATTCTAATACTTCAGTTTTGAATTGTTAAAATATACTCTTAAACTTAAAACTTAATGTTAAGGTAATACTTGAGGAAGGAAACTGAGCAACTGAAAGTTTGCATTATCTGCTTAAATTTACTTTTAAGAGTTACAGTTTATATTTGAACATTTGAAACATGGCTTACTTTCTGTTTTATTTGTACCCTTCAATTTGATACATTTTTTCCACCAGAAATTGATACAAATAGGAACAGAAGCGGATACAGTATCTTAGTGTGTTCCTTAGTCTCTGTGTAATTCACATAAATATCTTTTCCACTTCCAGTACACAAATCAACAAGCCAGGTAAGGCTTTCCTTAATATAGTGAGTGACAGAAGGAGAGTTGGGGCTAGGTAACAATGTCCTAAACCTTGATAGTCAATTAAGTGAATGGAATAAAATGCCTATGTCATGAGGGAGGTGGACTGCACTCCTTGCAGAGAACTCTTGTCAGTAGGTCCAATAGAAAGTATGTGAGCATCAACAGCAGTGTTGCACATTCCCTCTCCTCCCCTCCAAACAAATAAGGAAAAAAAAGGGGGGGGGGGAGAAAATGCCTTTAGGAAGTGGTTCGGTTTAAGACTGGCACAGCCAACTAAGTGTCTACATTAAAATGATCCAGGGTGAACTAGACATCTTGGCTCCTATTATAGCCTGTCAAGGCCTAGGCAGTGTAGTCATCTATTTGGAGAGATGCTTAGACTCACTTCTCTGAAAGTTTCTGCAGGAATCACTGATGTTAGTCCCAGCGGTACAGTCGATGAGACCCACATGAATTGCTTGGGATTGTGGTTTCAGTCTGCAATGGCTTGCTCAGATGAAACCTCCTGGTTTCCAGCCTAATACCTCTGAATCGCAAGCAGGTAGATGGCTAATACGAATGATGAACATTACTGAGTGGTAGATGAAGGTTAGAAAAGGCCTTGTTTTGCACAGTATTGTGACTGATAAGTAGAATCTTATCCATAAGGGACAGACTATCAATAATTTTATCAGGCCAAGTTGCTCATGTTACTGGATGGAAAACTAACAGAAAGATCTTAGAATCAGTTTAAGAAATGGGTAGCTAATTCTGTCTGCATCTTTCTTCACTTATTAAAATTTAAATTGAGATTTGAATATGTTGGAAAGAAAGGAAGGTGATTAAATTCAAAGAAAGTGTACCATATTCAAGTATGCTGTGAGCAGGTCCAAAGCCGTCAACATCACAGGCAGCCACACTTTACATAGGGTTCAATATTGCTTGAAGCCAAGTGTTATCTAGACCATACATCTGTGACTGTGCTTATACTTGATGCGGTATGCAATTAATACAGATATTGACAAAGATGCTCATCTTGCAAATACGTAACTATACATGTAAAAAGCCTCACTGGTTTTCATGGGACCATATATACATATTTGCAGGGTCAGAGAATATCACTGATCTTCCATTCCCATGCAAGAACAATTTTTTACTGATGTTTGACCTTGCCACCTCTGCATCAGTAATTTAAATCTTGAAAAAACTATGTATATATTACAAAATTACACTTCTCTATGTGCTTTTCCCAGTTTTGGGCTAGAGAAAGTACAGGTTTTAGGTTTTCTATTTCTCACTATGAACATATATTTCTCAAAATCTATCATTCAGGTAATACAACACATTCAAAACAAGTGCACTGCATACACTATAGACATATTAAATATAAGCAAAACAAATGTACAATATTATAGAGATAGTATATAGAGATAATATAAAGGTTTTAACAACAGTTCTGATTTTTGAACACATGAGATTTTACCTGATTAACTATTATTTTACAGTGTTAAACTTGTAAGCCTTATTTCTGATATTGGTGGCTTTTCTACTCAAAGCAGTGACTTTTTCCTGTTATACTTACCCTTTTAATGGACACACAATATGTTACTCTGTGCCCAAGTTCACCTACTCTTTCTTTTCTCAAAAGACAAGGCACATCTGCCACCTGCTCTAGTCTGTGTCCCAGCAACAACTGTCGAGCAGCAAAAAGATTGATTATCAGTCAAAAACCATTCAACAACACCAGATTTTGGTAGGTTAAGCTTGCTGATCCAGCAAGAGATGGTGTGAAATTTCCAGTAATGCGTGCCAACATTTTGGTGCTAAAAGAACAGCAGTGCATGTCACAGTGAAACACAGCCAAAGATATGCAGACAAAGCACAGAAGTTCTTGTTTTGAACTTGGCTTAAAAGAGGAAAAAGGGGGGGGGGGAAATATATGTGCTTAATGATTTTGAAAATCTACCATAACACTCAGTCATATGCACGGAAAATTTATAAAAAAATGGTCAGTGAAAATTTCTAACAAGGTACAGCAGTAATAATTTGTAGTTTCAATGTTTTCTGCAGTATGAAACTGCAATTATACTCTATTGAATTTATTTCATTCAATGAGACAATCAAATTCCATTCTATTTTAAAGCAGCTCAGTATGGCTGTATCCTATGTTTATGCAAGAATAAATGCAAGTATCCATACCGTTTGCTAATACACACTTGTTCATGTATTCCAATCAATGGACTGTCTGTTTCAATTTCATGATAATTTTTATGCTATCAAAACCAGTGCATTAAAATGATCATCTAAGACATATGCTTACTAACATCATTAATAAGGTTTTATGGTAGCATGAAGAAAATATGATATAGCTTAAGTGACAAAAATCATGAATACTGCAATGAATATGCAAATGTAGTTTAATTTTACCATCTACTGCTTAATATTAGTCTTCTATTATAGACATAGATGTATAGCATTTGTTTTCTTAGGCAAATTGCGAAAGGACTGAGTACTAAAAGATAACTTCTTAAAAGGTCATTTACATTAATATCAGTACATAAAAATATTAGAATTCATTGTCTGAAAAGTCTGAAATTCAAAATGAAAGATTTAAAGGATTCTAGATGTATTAGCGTTAAGATTAAAAAGCGTTGTTCAAATACTACATATTTTAATTCAAATGCTTACTTCTAAAATACAAGAAAAAGTGCAGAGAAATATAAATACAGTAGTTGAATGATTTCGCATTTCTCTTTATAATCCTTATGTTTTTAATAAAAATGTTACTACATATATTTCTGTTCCAAGATTATATGAATTACAGTATCCCGTATGAGGATAAGCCATTTATTCAATTACATTTCTCATTGTAATATACTGAAATTGGAGATTGACTCTACCTAAACATATAGGATCCCAGTAACCATTTCTTTTTAAAAACATGAATAAAGGTTCTTTCTCACAAATGCCAGCTGAATTAATGTTTTAATAAAATATGTGATTGGTATCTTGAGTTTGATTCTGAACACTGTTTAAGTTGTTTTAACAGCTTTGTTACAGAAGGCTTAGAATGTACCCCATCTTAAAATAAGACCGAGGAAAAACATTTAGATTCACGTTTAAAATGTGAACTATTCAGAGGTAATTTTCTACTGTTGTAGAAAAATAACAGATAGTTAATAATGTTAAAAATACCGAAGAATCTGAAATAATAAAGCATGTTCAAGTAAATAATCCCCATTGCTATACAAAACTGCTATTTCTACAAACAGCAAACACATTAATGAATTCTCTCCTATATTCTGAATTATTTTTGCTAGTGGAAGCCTAATTAGTTATGTCTGTTAGATGTCACTGAAACTGAACAGTAAATTCAATAATCTCTTTACATTTTCACCATTTAACCTCCTGCAGGCTCCCTAATGTCTATTCAGATCTATATTAAATTAAGTACCAATGCTAATGAAGGGCAATAAACGTGGCTGTCAGTAGATTTTTCTTTCATTAAGCACATTATCCTCTTACTGAGCTGTAAATGAGTAAACATTAGTTTTGTTAAACCATGCAAAAAGACAAGATGAAAATCAGTTTTAATTGCACCCCTTAAGCCACTTGCTGGGGATTTTCTGTTTTGGTTTGGTTTTTTACTTTTGACTTTTTTTTTAGGGGCTCTGAAAAGGGCTCTCCAGTTGAAATACAAACATCGGCTTCACGGGGTATGTCTTTAGGTTCTAGTGCTTCGGTGCCGTCTGCCAAGAACACTCATCGTGCAGCCATGTTCACATTCAGCTTGCCGGTGCACTCCTCCAGCAGCCAAATGAATGCAAGAGGTAAGGAATACTGATTACAACATTGTATGATCAACATTTAGTCAGGAAAATGTTCCAGACTAAAATAAGAAAGCAGAAATCCTCTCTCAACTAGTGTACGAAACAACAGTTACTTCATGATTAGTCATTTAACATTTTTGTAATTTTTACTGGAAGTCATAGGATAAGAGGATGAAGAAAACATAGTTAATAGTCTTTCTCACGCTATATGCTGTTTTAAAAGGATTGTCTTGTCTCATGTCTTTTAGTGTCAAATAATGCTGTACGTTATGAACTTTAAGTCATATTTTACTTAATTTTTAGAAGAGCTACTAACAATTGGCACATTTTTAGGATAGCATACAAAGAAACATTTTATGTAAGCATTTCATAGCCCAAGAAAAACTATTTTAGATTTGAAGCAACTTAATGTGTACTAGAAAACTTCCATTAGTGGCTTTGAGAACACAGAAACTTTAGCAAAGATATCTTTTGTGCCAGTCTTGTGAGCAATGACTTTGATTATATTTGGCTGCTGTTTAATAACTTTGCATAATGCAGATGCTTTCTGGGCATGGTAGTGTTCTGTTGAGGGGGAGGGCGGGAATACAGTCTGGGATCCTCAATGAAATCTGCTATACTTGGTCCTTTTTTCTTTTAGATTTTTTTTATAATAATCATTTAAAAAGACAATACTAATGTACATTGTACTTTCATGAATTTTAAGTATTTAATTCCTAGGGCCAACATTCAAATATATAATTAGACTGTTTTAAGTGAAATGGAATGCCTCTGCCTCAAATTGAGTTTATTTGAAACTTCATAGAGTACTTGAAAAGCAGTTGTATAACTCCACTATTAATTCTTCTTATGAAATATCTTAAGTTCACAAGAAAATCAATTGCCTAATTTTTAAAAGTATGTCTCAGATTCAGCACAATTAACTAATAAAAAATGTAATTGAGTCTAAGGAAATTTATAAATCAAAATGTTTTCAGAGTATGCAATATAAGTTGTAGCTTCCAGTTGAAAAAAGTAAGAACTGATGAGATGGTTATTACTGAGGCAAAATTTCCATCACGTTGACGGGAATTATGCCTGTACAGTGACTGCAGAGTACGGCTTGCTGTTAATTGTTTCCATTTCTTGGATTGCAAAATATATTCAATAAAACAAACAGAATAATATTAAATATTCAATCAACCTCTCTAAGGTTATACTTAGTAAAAAAGGCATATTTATAAGAAAATGTCATGTTTCTGCTATAACACTTGGAACATACAGTCTCAGTCTTACTATGCAACAAGAGGTTCCCAAGCAGAACTCAGACTTGCTTGAGGCAAAAAACTTGAATTCTTCTCACATGAAAATCCTTGGAAAATTTTCCTTTTGTTTTAATGAGCATTGAACCAATACTTAAAAACTATTGGCATGTAGCTAAACTTGCACCATGAATGTTTTGGAAATTTCTCATCTCTTGAATGACAAAAATTACTGTATAAGAATCCTGGTATTTTAGTATTGGTTTTTTTTTGCAGTTTCTAATACAAGCCATGCTATTAAATCAGGGTAGTTTTGTGCTTGGTGAGTATGCAACCATAGGAATAAGAAATGCAGAATGTGGCTTTTACAAGGTTACTATAATTTCTTTTTGGTTGTTATTCAGAACTTACGTATACTGGGGACAAATATGTTAGAGTACATACTTGATCATACACATTTAGCAATTAAAATTACTATAATAATTCAGGATTTAACACTTTCAACAAACGTTTAGAAAAGAAAGTAATTTGGATCCATTTGGAGGTACTGACTGCTTAAGGTCATGTCTCTACACAAACATGGGGACAACATCATACCTATAATCATTTAGGTTTGTCTGAATTAACATCAATTTCTTTGCTCAAAATGAAAAACATTGCCAACAGAAAGCTTTTGATGAGATCTAAATTAATTATTCTGTAATATGCTTTGGGCTACCAGGTCATTACTTGATTCACCTTTATGGTACATAGCAAAATCCATCTGTTCATCTGACTTTTTTTTTCCAGTCAGACAACAGACAGAATCTATTCATTCTTGGTTTAGTAGTAGAAAATTACTTTTTTAAAAAATGAAAGACAATCTGATCTGACCAGATCTACTATTCGGCATGTTAAAAGTCCATAAGCTCAAGCGGCAATCCATAAGCTTTTTTTTTCCTCTTTATTTTCACATTGCAATTGTTTTCAGAAACATTTGATAAAATCAATATGGCTTTAAAAAATACTCATATAACTGGATTAGTTGAAAGAATCTAAAGCAAGATTAGCAAGGTATGTTTCAGAATATCAGCTGAATCATCATTACAAGGGACAGAGCAGCAGCAGTCATGATTAAAAGCTACAGAGATGAGCTTTGATTACCTTAGTTGACCTGTGGGAGCACTTTGGGGTCTATTTCTCTTGGATGGTGACATAAGGCAGAAACTTTCTGTCCTGTTTGATTTGTAGCTGTCTAGGTCTGATACTCCATCACAGCTCTGAACTGATTTTGTTTGATGTTTAGAACAAGACTGAAGCCTTGACCTTCTTGATATCACTGTTGATTGCACACCCTGTTGTGGATAAATAGAAGTTGTCTAGACCTTTGCTTTCCTTCAGTATTTCTAACAGCTATTCTCACATACACAGAGACATTTTCTGAAATAAAATACATCTTTTTGCTCTGGTCTTTCAATTAGTTTAAGTAATGATTGCCTGAGAGAAGTTAGGAGAATTCAATCAAGGTGGAAAACACCTTATGAAACTGTTAATAGTCTCATCCCGTTTCTTATTTCCACAAACAATAACATTATTTCTGAATTTAACTTCATCTTTGCATACAATAAGACCAGAATTGGAATGTTAGAAAATGCTGTAGGACAGGATTATTGTGAACTGTGGTTGCTTTTTCAGCTATGTTACTCTGCACTAGGATTTAATCTGTGCTCATCTTCCTTCATATAAAATAAATTCTCATAAAATTAAAAAAAAAAGCCACATTTGCACAGAAAAATTAACAATAATGAGAACAGAGGCCTTCAGCTGTCAGTTTAAGGGTACTATTAATGGGAAAAAACTAACTTGTACCACAGGCCTGTCTGGATGAAATATTGACTCATATGGTGATAATATAATCCAATTTTATTCAATCTTTTGGAGGGTTCTAATTATCTCTGCTAAAACGTTGTAAAAAGCAAAATCAAGGTTCATACAGAAGCAAGAAAGGAATTGTATGTGCTCAACATTTTGTTCTTTCTCCATATTTGTATAACTCTTCAGTGTTATAATATTTGTTGCAAATTGTGTAAATGATGTCACAGAGAATGTGAACTACAGACTTGGTGTGCATTGCTTGCAGTGTGTTTGTTATAGGAAACTTGATGCTACAGTAATATATATACAGAACCTGAACTATTGGATTTCAATCAAAGAGATACTCTTTAGTATTATGACTCCAACCACATAAATACTGTTTTGAATATTGACTACTGAGAGCAATTTTTTGGAAACAATCATCTTGCTACAAGGCTACTGTTTGCCATTTCAGGGACTAACAATTACTACAAAGCCAGAAACAAATTTCTTTATGAAATACAATCTAATGATATTAGATATCATTAATAATTCTTCAACTAAAGCTTTTGTCTATTTCCACCTATTATTGCATCAACTATTTTGATGAAATACTAATATTACTATTAGCATTAACTGATGTTCACATATAGCAACAAAAAGTAATGTGCAAGTGGTTTGGGGTAGCAAATGGCTATTACTTTATATAGTCCCTGTCTCCTATCACTAAATTACATAAGTCAAAGGATACTTAAGACTATTACTGTTGTTCCCTGGTCATTGTCCTTTTTTTTTGTGTTTGTGCCTACAGTGTGTGTAAACCTTAGGGAACTGTTGCATACACTCCAAATACTTAATTGAGATTATTTCAAAAGGATTACCATGCAATTACCAACAGCAGTTTTACTTAAGTTGCAGAGCTGTTTTATACTTTAAAGTGAATCAAACTTGGACATAGTTCTATTCCCCTTACTTCTGAGAATCAACACCACAAAACAAAAGGTGTCACATGTGGAAAAACTCCTATAAAGTTTAATGTGAAGTGGTGTTCAGTAGTCAGGAAGAATGGCTTGGTATTCCTTAGTAAAGCAGTGTTCCCATTTATGCAGGTTGCTAAAGACAAAGGTAACAAAGACAAAAGGTAACCAGGAATTTTAAAGCAGGTTATATTTTAATTACTTAAAAAAAAAAAAAAACTTAAGAACACAAAATTTTTCTCATTTACCAGCAATTACTGTTGTTTGCTCATGTCATAAGCACTAAAGTTTTAAGAAACCAATTTGTAGTTCTTGAGGGAAGAAAAAATTATTCTCATGCCTGTTGAATTTATTTGGCTGTATTAGTCCAAAGTTTTATTTTATTTTTGCGCTGTTCTTTTTTCTATATTCATATTTAGCTAGAACACATTTCAGTATACTTCCTCTTGAAGTAGAAAACAATAGAAGTACATATTCCACTCAGTTTTCTGAGCTGTGAGTCTACATAAGGCTAAGCTGTTTGTTTTCCTGTAAGTGAAGAGCTACTCTTAACAGACCTTGATTCTCTAACAGCTACACAAATTGTAGTTAGCACACAGCTTGGGATGTAAATTTGACAGCAGAATAATGAGTTGCTGCTGATTTGTATTGGCTATCGCTTACTATTAGTGTTGCCTGTCGGATTAACTCTTCTTATACAGAAGCCACGGAATTTTTATGGATAGCAATTACCTACAAAATTCAATGAAGTACATCAGTACAACAGCTGCCCTTTAGCTCTTCATTATTTGGTTATCTCTTTGGTTATATTTACTTTTTACATTTTCTCCTAAATTATGTATTGATACTGCGTATTTGTGAAGTAGCATATTTTCTTGCTTTGACTTTTTCCAGTAGTTTTTGAAAATAGTCCTTTTTTTAATATTCTCATATCTAAATTTACATATTTAAATTTACCTAATTCTTATTTTTGCAATTGTACTTTCTGGATTTCTCAGACCAAGCACTACCTGGATATTTATACTAGCGGGGTGTGTGTGTATTTATATACATATATACATAAAATTATTATATATAAACATATTTTTACATTTATATTAAGTATTTAAAAAGGAAGCAATGGCAATATTAAATCTTAAGCATAATGGAAGGGTTAAGCAAAACTTATATTGATTTCTTTTCAATGTTCATTGTTAAAATATCTTTTTCTAACAACCGTATGTCTTTTGTATTATTTGCACTTACTACTGTTGCACAACATGGATAGATGTGCCAGGTAACCTTATAAAGGTTGTTTGAAATATAGTTTTATATGATGAAAATATATAGGTATCAAGTCTTATGTTTACATGTGAGAATATTTTAGCAATTTATAATTAATAAAATTATAAATTATAAATGATATAATCACCTTTTTTCCTGGAAGTGTTTCATGATTTATGGTCCTGAAACATTTTCTGGGATGTACTTGCCTCAACACCATCATAACATTTGTCAAAATTCTAACTTTAATTTTAGTACACAAGAAACCTTCAGTATCCATAATTTGCATGATATAAAACATAGCTTTTATATAAAACTTAATACAACATATAAAACATAACACAATAGTTTAGTAAATTTAAAAGATTTAGGAAATCATCTGATAATAATTCTACCAGTAAATGACAGTTCTACATATATCTTCTCGATTACTTTGGGAAGGACCCTCTCCAACAAATACTACCATAAACTTCACATCTGTCAAACTACTGCCAAGTAAATCTAACCATTTCTGACTCGTGTAACAGTTGGAAAGCAAAAGTGATGGTTGTTTAAGTTATTAGGATGCCAGATCTCCTTTTGTTAGGAGACTTTTTTCCAATTATGGTTTATCACAGAGCTGCAGTCCATGCTAAATGAGTGTGTCCTAAGGAATAACGTAATATGTACATGCTGTGTGTGAAACTTGCAGCCCACTGAAATTGTCAGGAGTTTTGCCAAAGGCTTGAATGAATTTTTTTTTTCACTAGATCTCTGGGCTGATGAATGGAAAGAAACTGCTTCCCATTCTCTCACTTCCCCTACTGAAACCCAGGCATCCCATAGACCTTTGGCTGTGAAAGACTTTTTGTCAGTACCCCCAACTACAAGGAAAGAAACGATACCGCTCACTTTGCCATATGGTGCCTAATGCAGAAGGAAGCATTTTGTCAATAATCTTGGCATAACACAAAAATCTGATATTTTTTACTTATCTTACTTAGTCGATAAACCAGACAGCACTTAATATCTCTGTTATGTTTCCTCCAAGGGACAGAGAAATGAGATTTTTCTCTAAGGACTTGGAAGAGCGAATCTCCTCTGGAGAATGAAGCTTCCAGGGTAGGGAAGAAAAATCAGTGTGAAAAATGAGGACGTACTTTTCCTTGGCCTCGTGTTTGGATTGTGAAGATTAACTGATAGCTGCAAGCTGTTCTCAAAACAATGAGCTCACATAATAAGGTAAATAAAAAGATGTAAAATTTTTAAGCTCAGGTGTCACTTATACTTGCTGATAAAGTGGCTATCATCTGCTGCTGTTATTCTCTCTAGTTCATAAACAGAGAAAAACAAGGGTAAGAGCACCTTGGGATCTTAAATGGCTGTGAGGACCATGAGTGCATTCTTCCTCTGGGGTTTTGACTGCTGGGCTCAAGCCCAACTTAGAGACAGAGCAGCTGAGGACTGTCCCTCCTTCCCTCTGGTGGCTGTGGAGCTGCCAGACAGCTCTGTGGGGACACCTCAGCCAGGGCCAACTCCTGCTTCTTGTGGGGGCTGCTTTGAAGCTGAAGCTCTAGTACTTGGCCTTGCATAAGCTTCAGCTGCACCTGTGTCACAGCAGTGCCAATGCCTGGCTGTGGGTCTGCAGATCCGAGCTGGGACCCCGACCCACGCATTGATTTTCCACCTTGATCCGGCAGTCCATGGGTCGTGTCTTACCCAGGTTACCATCACTGCATGTGATCTTGACCCTGACCTGCTGATGCACAGCCTTGACTTGACCTTAGACTTGCCTTTTCATCAGACCTGTTTGATGACCCAAACTCTCTACTGAAGCAGCCTGCCCCGCTGCTCCCTTCATTTGGGGGCTGCAGGACTGGGCCTTTCTTGGCAAGATCCCAGCCCCAGCAGCCTTGCTAACAGACTCAGCTCCTAGACCCCCCACTCTTGCTGGGATTGAACAACTTCCAAGATAATGGGATTTCTTCTCCTGAATAAATGTATGCAGTACCTTGCAATATGTAATCATTCTTATTTTTTCATTGATAGAAAAATATAGTGTATCCTCCTGACTGAAATCAACTATTAATACCCTGACCTGGCATTCCAGTCTGCCACATGACTGAAAAGGAAGAACCGATATTTAAAGAGAAGAAAGGTGAGAAGACAAAATGATTTTTAAGATTCATGAAGTCAGTTTCATGTGGATCCGAAGTCAAGGATTTGCAAAAAGCTGAAATTATTAAAATTTTAAATACAAACTATTCCATCTATAGCCTTTT